GGAAAGAAGTCTTTCCCATACTGAACTAAAGTCTCAGGTGACCAGTTGTAACGGCACGTTCAAATGGACGGTTTGCAACAAGAACATGGCACATACCATGAGTTGGAAATCAGAAAATTGCCTCAAGTCAACTTTCTTCTGTCAGACAAAAACCATTACTGCAACACCAAGCTCTTAGAAGGATTACTCCACTGTGATTACCTTGGCTGTAATGTGCATCTAAAGACAAGCAAAACACCCAATTACAGAGCAATAGCCTATAACTAGGGCTGAGACTTGATGAAGGCGTGTTAGGATAACTCAGAAAGTGGTCATTTCACAAAGAGCAACAGCAAATGGAAATATCACCATTACTTTCTACCTAGAGTAACCTTTATTTTATCAGAGTAGTAATGTTATGGTCAGTGTGTTGCAGTCCAGAATTTCCACAGCAGAATCAACTGTCTTGCAGCAAATGGGTAAGAACCATGAATTCAACAATAGGTTGGCTTTATAACCTCTGCTCAGGCAGAAGAGAAAAGCAGCCCACCTTGCACCGTCCTAACTTTCAGTTCTCTGCCCCAGACTCATGAGAGGCTCAGGTCACGGTAGAGGAGCAGGACATGCTGCAACACAGTTTGCAACAAAAACAGTAACTCCAAAACTTAATGGGGAAATTAAAGCAAGTGCAAAATCTGCAGAATTCTTCAGGATCGGTGCAGCATAGCTCACACTGAGGCAATACACCAAGTAACCACTCAGAAGAGTTTACAACACAGAGTGGCAGTAACTAGGTGATTACTAACTGCTAATGCACATTTCAAGGAAAAAAACCCTATCCCTATGTCAGAACAACATGCTCCCCTTCTATGACAATGTAACAAGTCTAAGGAAGATGGAAGCATCAATGCATGTAGCATCTGGACTTCAGCAAGGCTTCTGACAGCATCTTACAAGCTATTTCCACAAGCAATTTAGTAAAAATGTGTGTTCAGAACTAGCTTACAATGAGGTATACAACTCACTGAAAAAACACTCAAAATTGATCACTGTCAAACTGGAACAATTTATCAAGTGATATCTTCAAGAGTTCGTCCACAGCCCAACAGTACTCAACAGTGTTATTAATTATCTACATGATGCAATATATAGCATTGCTGTTAACGATCATGTTACTATGAGGGGAGTTGCAGCCCTGCTACACTCTCAGAAGATACATCAAAACGGTCTTAACAAATCTGGGGGATCATCATCAGAGTGGATTTTTTCCTGTTTGCCTTAATAAACAGAAATGTAATGTACACTTTGATAGGAAGCCTCATCTATACAAGATTGGGAAAAAAAACATTTGCTTGCCAGAAGTTTTGCAGAAACTAGTCTGGAGCAATAATGCGTCAGAAAACAAATGTGCATCAACAATGTATTTAAATGGCAAGTTTCACAGGTTGATGTACAAAATAAAGAATATCTTTGGTAGGACAGGTGAAGCAATTCTTCCCCCTCTAGTCAGCACTGACATGGCCATCTTACATCCAGTTTTGGGCATCACATTTCTAGAAAGACATGAAGCAACTGGAGAAAGGCCAAGGAAGGACTTGAAGGAAAATAAGAAAAAAAAAAAAAGACTAGAGGTCTGAGAAAAGATTGAAAGAACTGGGTTTGTTTAGTCTGAAGAAAAAGACGACTAAAAAGGGACATGATAACAGTCTTCAAATATGTAAAAGATGGTTACAAGAAAGAAAAACTACTTTTCACATACACTCCAGATAGAACTAGAAACAACAAGCTAAGATAGCAGCAAAGTATGTTTTTTCTAATGTCTAACTGACAGAAACATTAAACATTTGAAATATTGCCACTAGGGGCTGTGGAAGCACTAAAGGTGTTTAAGAGCAAACGTGCCCGGAACCAGCCAGGTATGAAAGGTTCTCACAGGACGGCTGAATGGACCACGTGACTGCCCGACGTCTTACTCAACACGCTGTGATTCAGTGTTGTAGGCATAAAACTTAATTCCTTTATTGCTACTTGTGACCACCCATTGAGTTTGGAAAGACAAGTCTTTTAATCTTAAAAGAAAAACCATTTTTTCTAGGAAGACAAGAAATGCTCTGCAGAAAATGCAAGAACCACTGACATTCCCCAAAACTGTCTTTTCCAAACCACAATACAACAGGAGACAAGCATTGCCACTCATTACAGATGAGGGACAAGCTGTAAAATTGAACCAGGAACGTGATATGTTTCTGTTTTCAGCTCAATTTACTCATAAAAGTGGTTCTTCCTCTTGTGTATAAGATTTCCTCTGAGAGGCCTGGCTAGAAAACATGTAAGAAATGGTAAAAAAGGAGAGATTATGAAAGCAAAGTTTAGGCCAAAATAAAAGTGACATCATCTACTAAACTAAGTGCAACAAGTCTTATGGGAAAAATGAAGCTCAACAACTCGCTAATATGAGTTTTAGTCATTCTGACTATTGCCAAGCAATAAATTTACCAGCCAATATTTTCATCAGTGCAAATTACTATAGAAGGTGGCCACTGCTCCTCTCCTCATGCCATATCTCCACAACTACACTCAGATGCAACAAAGCTCTTTCTGCTGAAAAGCTGCTGCTAAGGGGCTTTGCATTTTGTGAGGTCTCGAACTTGTGGAAATTGCATCATCACATATGGAACAGGCTACAGATGCTAGTCCCCAGGGTGTGCTGTAAGGGACCCTTCCTCTCCCAGGTCTTCAGAGGATAAGAGCAAATGGTTAGGAAGGCAGGAGACCAGACAGATGCCCTTAAGACATTACCTATGCTGCCAGAGTTATGGAAAAGAAAGACAACGTAATGCATCATAGGGTTCCCACACAGGAGTATTTAACAGTGGTTTGCTTGAAGCTGGCAGTTTGGTATTTCTTAACGTTTTCTTAAATAAGTTAACTTAAATGACACCTTAGCTAGGATCCTAGAGGCTTTATTTATTTAAAGATCCTAAAAAGGGGATTATTAATGATTCAGATTTTTTGCTCAAAGCAACTCCTAGCAATGTGCAATCTCTCTAAAAGAAAACTTAGGACAAACTTGCATGGTGGTTTGGAACTTGATAAAAATCCATGCCCTCCCTCTACAGATCAGTAAATAATGTAGTTTTGGTTTGAAGTTGTGCCTTGTTTTGCCTCTTTCTGTATTTCTAGACAAAACTATTCCCTTTACTCCATTACATTTTTCTTTTTTTTTTTTGACCACTGCCAAAATGGGCGATTTGGTTTTGATCTCTTGTTTTTAGAGCAAGTGGTAAGTAATGGGAAGAGCTGACATATTAGGCCACTCTCCTTTAACTTCGAGCATGTCACTGAACACAGCATTTAAACAGATACATCAAAAAGTGCCATGAGGAAACAGAAGACAGGTGTGGTGAAAACAAACACAGCAGCTCATCCCATTGCTGAACATCAGGTGAGCAGACGAGTCGTGCACCACCCGATGAGCAGGGACAGCTCTGCACGGGCAAGTGGATGGGAACACTGCACGCTTTGGTGAACATCTGGGCCAGGATGCTAAGGAATGGGACAGGGTCATATGCAGAATTTGTCAAAGAGAGAAACTGAGGTGATTTCAACAGGCAAGTCTGAAGAGTTGCTGTGAACATTCAGAACACATCTGCTCTCTTACAGCGTGCTGGATGAGACACGTTACCCCTCTCTCACCCCCATCCCTCTGAGCCCAAGGACGTTTACCAATATTTGGATGCTTTAGAAGTCGACAGATTCGAGCTTCACGTTCCAGTTTCTGGTGATCTGAAAGACAATAAGAAACACGGCGTTAAGCACCACAACTCGGAACTAAGCTCTTGCTCATATTCAATGGAGAAAGGAACACAGTGACCCAGCAGACCTCCAAAGGGCTGGGAATTGCTGGAACGCAACTGCCTCCCACAGCCTCACTGCTGTTTCAGGTGAGGGCTATGCAGCTGGGGCTGCAGGAGGACCTTCACTCCTGCTACAGAGCTAGCACTAAACTGATTTCCCTCCTTGCATTCAAAGTGAGTAGCAGGAGAGTCAATCACACCGTTCTTCTGTCAGCCTCATAAATATGCAAAGCCATGTCCAGTGACACCCCTTCTGAGACTCACCCCCTTCTACAAGCCTGAAGAGGAGGAAAAGTCTCTGAAGAAAAAGCCCACATGAAATGGGAAAAGGACCTGCTTTCACCTAAACACTGGGGAAGAAGGGCAGAGTAGGAGGGAGAAATACACAGCTCCCGCTAGTGCACAGCCATCACGTGAAGTGGGGAAATCTGCCAGCTCCAGTGAACCGTAAAGGTAACCATATTTCAGTACCCACAGACGGACTCGCTGGTGAAATGCTGATCAAGCAATTTGAGATTTCCAGGCGAGAAGTTCTGTCCAAATGCTAAGTATGCTTATTCCAGCCCAAAGGCAACATCAGTTCGAGCACAACTGTCATCTGGATTCAAGAAAAAAATATCAAGGAAAGTAAAAAAAAAATGGTTTCTCCTCCCTAGAAATGTAACATGTATGAGTGCAAGGAAAGGAGAGGGAGCAAGAGCAACTCTGTCCAAGGGGGCTTTTAGTCACTGAGGCTCAGAGAGGAGATTTTTCACGACTGCAATGACTGAGTCCTGAACTTTCACTACAAAGCCTCCATCCTCTCAAGCAAAATGCTCACATTGGACAAGCGCAGATTCACTGAAAGGATCTGAGGGAAGCAAATCTTTTAGGCAGCCCTGGCACCTGCTAAACTCTACACTTTTGGGGACATAGAGGCAAGAAGCTAGGACTGTCCTTCCCCAGTCCAGCCATCAAAAGAACATAGCAAGGGGAAGCAGCAGTCCCTGCCTGCTCTTGACATTTCTTCTGTAGCAGATCTCCAGCACACCGACTTGAAAACACATCTTCTCTGCATCCCCTGTGACACACAAGTCTTCTCCAGAGGAGTAAACAGGACCCTTGGCTGGTTGGGCTACTCAGCAGATTGCCAATAGAAATGCAGCATCCTCTGATTTATAAGAAACCCACAAGAGGCTCACTTCCAACAAAGTCACACCGCACTGCTCTGCCTGAGAAGAGCCTGTGCAACCCCATGGTCTCTCTGCCTGGTCTTCCCTTCCCTTTCTAAAGGGAGACCTTTGGGCAACTGTTCTCCTCTGCATCAGCAGAAGACAGAGACTGAGCCAGATCTCAGCTCAGAACACTTATCTCTCCCAGGCTGGGAATAGCAGCTCAGGAGCACTGCAGGATTTTTTTCTTCTTTCCCACTGCTGAACTGTAGAAAATGTCCCAATTAATATTTTATAGGGCTGAGATGTGCTTACATCCTCATCTGCTACTGTTCAGTGATGGGGGAAGGTAAATTACTCTTTTCATCTCTCCTTCCTCCTCAATCCTGGAAATTATTGTTGTTGTTGCATATATTTCACAGCTCTATGCCAGAACCACTCTCCAATAAAGTAGCAGGCAGCAAGAAAGCCTGGAGAGCTTCCACGCTCCCAAGGCCTTGGTGCAGTGCAAGCGCTTTCTCACCTGCATTGCTGGGGAGGGGTGGGGGTGCTTTGGCTTCCCTTTTAGCAGCATCTCTCACAAACGAAGTTTTGCAAAACACGGTTGCGAGGTTACAGACTGTGCTGCATACGCTGCACTCGGGCCAGATTCTCACAGCAGGACAACAGTTTAAGATAAACTATCCGCGGCCCACTCGCACGTCTGGGTCTTGCGAATTCCCCGCTTACCCTCCCAGCTCTACTTGGAACTCCTACAGAAGGGGATCCTTCATCCACCCGGATCATGTTGCCCTTGTGCACAGTTACACTTGCTGAGAATCTGTTCCCAAGTCCAAGGACATGGAGGAGCAGACAGCAAAAACAGCTGAGCAAAGGGGGAAGAAGAGGTAAGAGCTCACCACGTGCTACTCAGCCACTGAGCCCCGACAGCCAGGACAGACAGCTGACAGGAGCACGGCTCAAACAAAATGACATAACCCTCAAAATGCCATGGGAGATGTAAATCAAGAGCAATTGCTCCCCTGAAATCCTACACCACGGTGCAGAGGGAGGGGAGTGGGCAGGGCAGCTAGCTATCATGGGCAGCAGCCACACCAGAACTTGTGACAAGAGGTCATCACCCCACATCCCATCCCTTCAGCACCGCACAGCCTGGCCGAAGACCAGAGGAGGAGTACAGCACTCCGGTCACAAGGTACAGGAAACTATTTCTGGTCAGGGGGAAAGCATACCACACTCTTCTGTCTCCAGGGCAACAAAACAGGCAAACTCAAGCACAACTCATGGAGAGAAAGCACACTCCAGCCCCAGGAGCACCAGCCCGCAGCAGCCAGCCGCCACAGCCGAGAGCGGCGAAAGGTCAGGCTGGGCGGGGTTCCTGCCACAGGGCCTGGAGGATTGTCAATCCCATTCCTGCAGGATCACCTGTCCCATTGCAGGTGGGATCAGAACACAGCCCCACTTGTTACCTGAAAAGTCACACCATCCCCAAAGAGAGACCCTTTTAAATCTTTCTTCATCGCCCAGTAGCCTTTGGAACAGTATAGGTACTGAAACGCGTAAGAAATAAACATGGATTTGCCATTTTTATACCTTTCTCTGGTCTAACAAAGGTTTTTACCAGTAGAAGACAGAAAAAAGCTCAGTGAATCCAGCAGAGCAGTCAAAGGCTGGGCTTTAAGACATCTCTTATACAAGGGCTCACCAAACCATAAAAATGCAAAGCATTCTTAGCTGTATTAGAATAATGATGAAAAGGAGACACAGGTTCAGATCCCTACCTTACCAAGAGCTTGCAAACCAAATTATTTCTCCTCCCTCTACCCAAAAGATCAAATTATTTCTGCAGGCCCTCTGCGCAGTGAAGGTGTTTATTACTAATGCACAGTGGAAATACACCTCATACTCAACAGAAATACAGCAACACATCTGACCTACCTTGCAAGATTCCAGGCTTGGGATATTAGGATTATTTCCTATCTTTCACATATTATGAAATTCAGCCATAACTTGCCTAAAACACAGTATATCCTTTAGAAAATATAGGAGTTCAAGATTTCAAGTGATAAAGCGAAACATACACCCACAGAAGTTACTGCAAATGTTAGTTACCCTTCCTGTTAAAATTTAGCACTGCTGTTCCAAGTCTGAATTCATCTACCTCCTGCTTCCAAATATTGGATTTCATTAAGCTCTTTTCCTGCTACGTTACAGAGCTGTCTAGCCCTGAACAATAGCTGATGCTTAAAGCTTAAGTACAGGATATTACAAACACTCATCTAATATTCATTTACTGTTTTCCAGCCAAAAAAAGAGGAGAAACTCGCTATTTGGACAATCTACAGTCTGAAGCAATGAGTATCTACATGGACAGAAAAGTGCAGTCTATGTAGGTTTTTTGTAGCAAAGTTTAAAATGTAAATGCTTAAGGTGATGATGCTTAAAAACAGCAGGACAAAACTTGCTCATGTTTGATACACAAACTATGGTGTGAATATGTTTCTCTTTATTAGGCCTTTATACAGGTAAGATTTCCGCATCTTGGTTCAGCATGTGAGACTACACTTGACTGGTATCTTTAGCATTATTGCTCTGCAAATACTGCTCCAAATGTCATTCTAGCAATGCTAATACCAGGTTTATTCAGAATACATATGGTAAGAAACTGGCTGTTCAGAGAACTGGGGTTTCTTTGGGTTAGGTTTTAATTTGTCCAGGGATTTACTTCAATACAAAACAGGAATGGTTACATTAGCATCATCTCTGAGAGTTAAGGACCTGTAAAAATGAAACTTTCATTTTGTACAAACATGCAGTCCATTCACTGGGACAGAACTGCTCGTGCACAAGGGATAGACAGAAGTGGTCGTGCACAATTAGTAACATAACAGCTGTAGGAATCTCTAACTGAGCAGCTTAAAACTAAAACAAATACAACCCTGCTGAGTACAGAAGGCAGCAGACCAAAACCATGATAGTTTGGCCTGTTATGTTCTAAATGCATCCAACTTCAGCAGATAAACAGGATAACGTTATGTAATATAAAGGTATACCCAGCAGAAATAAAAAGCAAAATGCAGACAGCTTTACTTCATGAAAAACTGCCAATTTCCAGCAGGGTGGGGAATATGACTAGTTCTACACTGATGTGCATTTCTTACGCTTCTTATAAGAAAATCCTTTCATTGTCTGACCACTTCTGTCTGTTAGCCCAAATATGTGGTGGCAAAGGCAGATGGATAACATAAGACCCAACTTCTGGGCTTGATTCTTCTCCAGGGAATCGGTTCCCAGTTTTCTACTTTAGCCACTACACGCATGGCTGCTTTGCAGGAGGTTTTTCCTCACCAGGTCTTTCTCCTCCTCCTGAGGCCTGCAAGAGAACATTTTCAGACCAGGACAGCCACAAATCAGAGCGGTCTAGAGCTGTCAAGTGAGAACATTTACGTAATAATAACAACAACAACAACGACGAAGGTGAAGAAGAAGGTCACTGTGCCTAATCAGCCTGTTAGGAAGCTGTGCTGAGGAGAAGGGGCTGCCAGGGAAGCACAGGGAGCACTCTCTGCACAGAGCTGAGGTGGGCTTGCAAAAGGCAGTGCCTGGAGAAAGACACTTGCAAAAAACCCAAAATGGAGATCAGTCCCAAGCCAGACGAGGGCTGAACTTGCATGAGGGAGCAGGAGAAGATGGTTAGGTGTCAGGTGCCGACACTGCCACCCTGCACAGGCAGCACAGCACGAACCCCTCACGCCTTCGGAAATAGCTACAAAGCCCT